TTAAAACACAAATATTGCAAGTGGCAAGAGAGAAAACGCTGAAATATAATGGCAAGGAGATTGTGGTTTTAAAACAAATACCCAGAAAAGTGAGAGAGATAAGAAAAGAATACCAATTTTTAACTAAAAAGTTGCTGAAAAAAGAGGTGAACTACAGATGGCTAATTCCAGAAGGATTAATGTTTACATAGCAAGAACAGAGACATAGAATTGATTCAGTTGAGAAAGCAGAATTATTCTACGCAGAATTCTTTGGAAAGAGAGAGGAAGAGGCAGAAAAAGTGGTCTCCTTAATTGAATTTCAAGAGGACCAAATGGAGACTGAAAAAGAAGAAGGCGCAGTAGGTGGACAGGTAGAAATTAAAGAACAACGTGAACCAAGATCCACGAGAGCTACCAAACTGAACTACAAAGTATAATCATGGAAGAGAAAAAACTGATTACAATGAATATAAATGTACTTAATTCGGCTGTTAAAAGAAGGAACATTTTTCATAAATTAGAGAAATTAAAATTTGATATAATTTGTCTACAAAAAGTACATATTAAAAAACAATATGAACAATTGTTGGTCCAACCAAAATTAGGGAAAATATTTACTTCTTTGACTCAATGTAAGAAAAGAGGAGTGGTTTTATATATTAAAGAGACCATCTTAGCAAAATTGATTCATACTGATGAAGATGGAAGAGTATTAATGGTGGAAATAATGGATAATAATATGAAAACACTCCTGATTGCAATTTATGCTCCAAATGATAAACAAGAAGAATTCTATAAAAAATTACATACGAAAATAATTGAACTGGACTATGTTAATATAGTTATGATGGGAGATTTCAATGGAATTGTAAACAACATATTGGATTATATAGCAACAGTAACAAAACAAAATAGAAAGAATCTCCCTAAATCCTTTTTTAAAATGACAGATGAAATAAAAGATATATGGAGAGAAAAAAATGCTAAAATCAAACAATATACTTTTTACTCAAATAGACAGTTATCATGGTCCAGAATAGATATGATTTGGATTTCAACAGAACTAATATCTAATATTCAAGAAACAAATATTGAAACAAGTACTTGGGCAGACCACAATCCAGTGACAATTAAATGGAAGGGACAAAAAAGAAGATCGAGATGGATGTTAAATAATACTATTTTAAAGGAAAAAGACTTCACACAGCGGATGGAGAAAGAATTGGCCTTTTTCTTTAGAGAAAATAAAAAAGAAGATACTTCAATTCAGAATGTTTGGGACACAATGAAGGCATATGCCGGAGGCTTGATAATAGACTATACAAGGAAAAGGAACATCAGGAAAAGGCAAGCTACTAAAGTTTTAGAAGACAAGCATAAAAGACTTGAAAAAGAACTACAGAAAACGCCACAGAAAAAAGACATTAAACTAAAATTGGACATAATTAAACACAAAATGGGTCAAATAGAGAAAGAAGAATTAGCACAGAAAATTAGAAGTGCTAAACAGAATTACTTTGAAGATGCAAACAAACCAGGTAGATGGTTAGCATACAAATTGAGAAAGAATCAAGGAAAATATTGCAGTTAATAGATGATCAAGGTCAAGTTTGCTACGGCAATAAAGAGAAAAAGGAAATTATTCGAGACTTCTATGGGCAACTATATAAGCAAGAGAATATTGATGAAGAAAGAGTCAAACAGTACTTACAGAATGCTAATCTACCTAAGATACCTAAAGAGACTGAAAAAATGTTAGAAAGCAATATAACAATGATGGAATTAACTGACGCACTTAAGAAGCAAAACAATGGAAAGGAACCAGGTCCAGATGGGCTTCCAGAAGAATTCTAATAAAACATTACAAGAATCGCTGAGCCTTCCTTTGTTAGAAGTCATGAACGAAGTTATGTCAAAGAAGAAGATACCTAAAACATGGTCAGAAGCCTATATTACACTTATTCCAAAAGAAGAGGCTGATCCACTGCAAATTAAGAATTATAGACCTATTTCTTTACTAAATGCAGACTATAAAAGTTTCACTTCAATTTTGGCAGAAAGACTTAAAAAATACTTAAATAATTTTATTCATCCTGATCAAAATGGATTTCTGCCAAAGAGACAAATCAAAGGTAACATGAGAGTAATTTTGGATACTTTGGAATATTATGAGGCACACCCCAAAAAGCAAATGGCATTGATATTTTTAGATGCACAAAAGGCATTTGATAATGTGAATTGGAGATTCATGCTATTATTGTTGGAACAGATGGGTTTTGCCAGAAAATTCATTCAAGCAATAGAAGCCATATACCATAAGCAAACGGCAAAGGTTTGAGAGGGAGAATTGACAGATTCCATCAATATAAGAAAAGGTACAAGACAAGGATGCCCACTATCACCTTTGCTATTTGTATTAACTTTGGAAGTGTTGAATAGAAATATTAGAGACGATAAGAGTATAAAAGGAATGAAAATTAAAAAGGAAGAATTTAAATTGCAAGCCTTTGCGGACGATTTGGCTTTCATTTTAGAAGACCTTTTAGAAACAGCACCAAAATTATTGGAAAAGATAGAGGCATATGGTAAGGTGGCTGGTTTGAAAATAAAGATAAAACAGAGAACCTGACAAAGAATATGCTATTAAGACAAAAAGAAGAACTGGCAGACCTATTGAAAATTCAAGTCACGAACAAGGTCAAGTATTTGGGGATACATTTGACAGCAAGATGTAGTACATTAAAAGAGAACAATTACATTAAACTTAAACAACAGATAGCGTCAGATTTGATGAAATGGGAAAATCTACAATTGTCATTAATAGGGAGAATCTCAACAATCAAGATGAATATCTTACCCAGAATTTTATACCTGTTTCAAACAATACCAATTAGGCTTGGAAAGGACTATTTTGAAGATTTAAATAAAATTGTCTTGAAATATATATGGCGAGGTAAGGAAGCGAGAATAAAGTTAAAACTTTTGCAAGACGCTAGAATTAGAGGAGGATTTGGTTTGCCTAATTGGGAGTTGTACTACCAAGCTACAAACTTGATGTGGGCTAAGGAATGGATAACATTAAGAAATACTATATTGTTGACATTAGAAGGACATGATTTGCTGTTGGGGTGGCATGCTTTTCTATGGTATAAGGGAACTAAAACACAGGGCTATTTTAGAAGACATCATATACAGGAGTCTCTGTGGTTAAATTGGGAGAAGATTAAAAGACAATGCTATTTAAAAATTCCAGTCTGGTTATCGACTATTGAAGCATTTTCCTATCCCATAATATATAAGAAGGAACAAACAGTTAGATATGGGGAAATATTGGATGAAAAGGGTGAACTTAAATTGATGCAAAATCTAGAGGAACAAGGTATAAAGATGAATTGGTTTTCATATGCGCAAATACATTCAAGGTATGATGAAGATCTCAAAACAGAAGGATTTTATGACAAATTGACTGACTTAGATAAGATTTTGACAGGTACTGATGAAAAGGTGATTAAAAAATTATATGGTTATTTATTGGAAACTAAACTAGAGGAAGAACAAGTTAAAGAAACTATGATTGCTTGGGGGAAGAATTTTGGATATGGGATTGATTTAGAGAAATGGCAAAAATTGTGGTCTCAAAATTATAAAATGACAATGTCAACAGCATATAAAGAAAATTTGTATAAGATGTTTTACAGGTGGCATTTTCCCCCAACAAGAATCGCAAGAATGTTCAAGAATAAATCCAAAAAATGTTGGAAATGTCATCAGATACCTGGCTCATATTACCATATGTGGTGGACTTGTGAGGTCATTAGAAAATACTGGACTAAAATCCGCATGTGGTTGGAAAAAATGACAAAGAAACCTATAGACTTGAAACCAGATATATTTTTATTGGGAATTTTACCTGATACATACAGTAAAGATTTAAAATATTTGATTGTAAATGTATTAACAGCAGCTAGGATTGTATTTGCTAAAAATTGGAAAAATGAGAAAATACCATTACAGGAGGAAATTATTAAGAAAATACTGGAATGTGCTGAAATGAGTAGATTGACATTTGAAATTAGAGAACAAGAGGATAAACAATTTTATAAAATTTGGGACCTTTTCTATCAATGGTTAGATAATAAAATACAATAATAGAATATTTAGAATTTTAGAAAATAAGGAATATATAAAAGTGTATTTCTTTTTTTGTTATCATATCTATAAAAAGTTTTTAGGATAGATTTGGGAGGATTATATGAATTGTTATAAAATAAACTAAGTAAATTATAGTTATCTCGCAAAGTATGAATGAACAAAATTATAGTCAAATGATTGATTAATAGTGATACTAGGGTATTCAATTTTTGATTGATAATATGAGTTATTATGCAATGTAACTATAATTGAGACTATGAAATGGATGCACAAAAAGTTTGTAAACCAACCGACACACTGCTTGTACATTTATGAAAGAAAGTTGGATGTTTTTATGTTTTGTTTGTTTTTGTTTGTCTTTAAAAACCAATAAAACTTGTTTTTTTTTAAAAAAAAGAATTCTATGTGAATATTTTAAGAAGGGATCGTTGATATGTAACACCATAAAGCGATCATCTAAGCCCCACATTTCTATTGCTGATAGGCAAAAGGTACCAAAGGTGTTCCAACCAATTATTTACCATTCTATTTTTAAATATGTATATATTTTTGAATTCATTATTAAATTTCTATCACCCATCTTGCCGAGGCAGCTCTATATAAACGAGCCTTGTACTAGCTGACTCCTGCACAGTGTGGGCACGTGAAAAGGTTCCAGAATCAAACACCGCACTTGAAAAGAGCTGGAAGAATGCAGGATTCAGAGCCATTTGTATTTCTGCCTCAGGCTTTCTACAGTCCGTTCTAAAACTATGAGCAGGTTCAGCAAAAGCAGTATGTTCTATTTTGCCACCCTTTCAGGTAGAAAGCGGTGATCATGATTTAAAAAAAAAGAACAATCGGGACACTCCATGGAGGTTACTCACAGTCATCCAAAGTGTAGCCCTCGTGCCCCTCCATTCCCCAACGTCGCATTACTGATGCCAGTTCACAGCGATTGAAGATCTTGCCATAGACTTTCACCACAAGGCAGGTCAACACAGCTAACCACAGGCAGAGGCCTTTCATTGCTCCTCGACGATGTGCTTCTGCTATCTCCAGTAGCCTGAAAATGGGAGGGGGGGCTTTCCCAGGCTGACAGTTCTACAAAGAGAAGAGAAACATCTAGAAACAAACTGTTGATGAGAAGGTTGCGTTTGATATGGAGAGTTGTTTTTGTACAGTGTGAAGCAAGAATGCAGTTCAGAGACACACACAATGGAAGTGCAGAGATGGCATAGCCAAATGGCCAGAATTGACTTGTGGATTGTAGAAAGAGTAGTCAGCTCATGAAACACTTCAAAATATTCATTTAAGAGATGCATATATAGGGAAGAGGCTCAAGTCTTGCTTGGTTTCTGTACCAAAAATACATTATCTTATTAACAGCAGTCAACCTTGCTCACCTCCCGACTTTTGCAACCGGAATAGTTTCTAGGTTGATTTACTCAGAACGTTCTGAATAAGAAAACTCATCAAAGTTTTGAGAAGACTGGGAAAGAATATGCATGTGAGGCAGCGGTGCAGCATTTCAAATATTTTTAACCACCGGTTCAGTGGGCGTGGCTTGGTGGGCGTGCTTTGTGCGCATGTGCCAAATGTGTACTTTGCGCAGGCGCAGAGGGCTTCTAACTCACCTCCGGCAATCCTGCACTCTCCCTGTCGCTTCAGCAGCTGCGTCGCAGCAATCTGCTGCGTGCGCAAAGCAGTTGCGCTTCAAAAGCAGGGAATAAAGGTTAGTATGGGACCCCAGGCCCAACAGCAGCTCCTCAAGAGAGAACCAGTTTGGTCTCCACTGCTCATTGGCGCTACCGGCTCGGTAGAACTGGGCAGAACCGGTAGAATACCACCATTGATGTGAGGCTACAGAAGTGTTTCAGAAACCAAAAGAAAAATCACATGGGAGAAAACAAGGAAGAAGCTGTGGTTTGAGACAGAACTAGTAATGCTGTTTAACATCTTCATGAGGCCACTGGACATTAGGTGAGGTTATCCAACAAGTTAGGATGAGGTATCAACAGTATGCTGATGATGCCTAGCTTTTTATCTCCATTCCAGGCTGCCACAATGATGTCATGAACATCCTGTCCCAGGGTCTGGAGGCTGCAGAAGCCCAAATAGGATGCAGCAGCCTCTAGCTCAAGACTAGGTCATGAATGTTTGGACCTTCTAATATGAGGAGTTTCCAGTTTTGGTTTGGGATGGGGCAGCACTGCCTCAGACAGACCCAATGTGCAAACTAGGGGTCGGTTTGGACACACAGCTACAGAGCAGGTGACAGCTGCACTTATGCACACCTTTTTATTGTGTATCGGTTGCACCCATTCCTGGATTAGAAGGCCCTGCTCACTGTCATTTACACCCTCATGACTTCCCATCTAGACCAGTGCAATACACTCTACATGGGGCAGCCCTCAAAGAACATTTGGAAACTTCAATTGGTGCAGAATGCAGCTGCATGGATAGTAAATGGTGTCAGTTACTGTGTGCACTGCACCACTATGTGCACTGCATTGGTTGCCAATGTACAATTCAAGTCCTGCATGGCTTGGGACTGGGTTACCTGAGGGCTTGTTTTCTCCCAATAATTTCTACCCATTCAGTTTGGTCAGCCAGTATGTTCTGGGTCCTGTCAACCAAGGAATATTGGTGGTGGGAACCAGCAGATATGACTTCTCTACCTTACCACCTGACCTCTGGAAACTTCTCCCTCCAGAGATTAGGATGGCCCCAATCCTACTGGTCCTTTGTAAGGCCCTGAACACCTGACTATGTGCCCAGGCCTGAGGGTAAGCTAGATTTGGACATGATTTGTTTAATGACTATGGTGGTGATTGACTTAGCAACCACCATAAAAATAAGTCGTGTGGTGACCCAACTGCAACAACTTACAGCAAACTTCCAGACTCAATTGTGGTCATATATCAAGGACTACCTGTATTGGAAGTCATTTCTTTGTATTTTTTTTTCCTTTTCTATTTTTCTTTAGCTTTTTTCTTGCACTTTTTTCTTTCTCTTTGTGTTTTTCCCTTTCCTTCCTTATTTTATATTTATTTATTTGTAAATTTTATTGGCTGCCCATCTTCCCAACCATATTACTTTCTGTTTCTGTTTCTGTTTCTGTTTGTGTTTGTGTTTGTGTGTGTGTGTGTGTGTGTGTAAAACATGAAGGGATTTGGAGGCTAAATCCTACAAATAGTACCAACTTTAAGAAGTTGGTATGTTTAACTTATAGAAGAGAAGATTGAGTGGAGACATGATAGCAGTCTTTCTCTATGTGAAGGGATGAAGAGATGTCCCAGGAAAGAGAAAAGAGATTTATTCTCCCTAACACCAATGAGAGAACCAATGAGTGAAAGCTTTATGGTGAGATATCCAAACATAAACTAAGGATGAATTTGCTGACATAAGGCTCCCTTGTGCATAGGGCTCCAATGAATTCACGGATCTATTGAGTCTGATCTAATCAACAGTGTTCTTAGTCAGGGGTCTCCAACCTTGGCAGCTTTAAGACTTGTGGACTTCAACTCCCAGAATTCCTCAGCCAGCTGCTGGCTGAGGAATTCTGGGAGTTGAAGTCCACAAGTCTTAAAGCTGCCAAGGTTGGAGACCCCTGTTCTTAGTTACAGTCACGGAACAAGGGATTGCAGGGAGCAACTCTCAGTACAAGGCTAAAAGAAACAGACTCATGTACTTCAGGATCTGACTAGGAGACCTTTCAGATTCAAGTGCTGGCCTGGCCTACCCTAGCCCCTTTCAGATATATCTTAAATGGGCATATGATTTATACACTGGTTTACTTGGATACGTATTAGATGATTATCACTATACGTTATGGTCTACTGGTCATGCTCCTGATGGGGGGCCCAGTCAGTTCCATAGAGAAATGAGGTAGAAACAGTACTGCAGGATAACTAAGGAAGAAACTCAGGCTAAATCAACTGCCCTCTGCTTATGATGTGGAATATACAATTATATACAGATATCATACGTCCCATCAGCACTCAATGATGAACATGTACAAAGATCATGGGTACACATAAATAAGCAATACTTTCAGTTCAGTGTGGTGTGGATGGTTGTATAATCACTCATTGTCCAGTCTCTGTGAATGGACATTCAGAGGTATGCCTGCCAGGCCCTTTCAGGTGTTGCTGAGCTCCACCTGCTTTCAACTTCAACAAATGGTGAGGGATACTGCTTTTCCAAACTTAATTGACTGTACAGGTACATCTCACACTCAACAAAGGTAGAAAGAGCTGCTCAACAGAAGTGATCTACAGCAGGCAGTTTATATTTCAAGCTAGTCCTCTGGCTTCTGATGCAGGGCAACAACCCAATAATTTTCACCTTCTGAGGGGGACAAAGAAATGAGGAAGGCTTATTTTATCAATGGCCCATCTCTTATCTCAGCCCCGAAGTTCAGAATGATTAACCATAAGTAAATAACTTGCCTCATGCAGGTCAAGTCCAAGCAAATTTCAAGTTAGCATAGCAGCCAGGTAAAATGAAAGGAAGAAGTATTCAGGGTATTATCCTTTGTGGATGCCAAGTCAAGAGCTCCAGAAGATTCTGAGTGACAGCTGACAAAGTGAGGCTCCAACTTTCCAGCTTGAACTTCTCCAGGCCACAACAAAGTTCTTAATCGGCCCAGCAAGACACACTTGCCAATGTACCCCATGAAGAGATGGCAGTTCACCTGACTTCTAGAACCTCAGCTCTGAGGTCATCCTTTGATGTCATAGCCTGTATCTGCTCTCACCTCAAGCCCAACCTCTTGGAATGGGAAATGGTATTCTCATCTGTCATATTCATGCAATGGCAGCCACTCCTGATTTCATCTCTCCTCTGAAAATCCATCTTCTTAACTTTGATGAATGAAGCTAACCCTGAATTATTTGACTGGCTGGCTGGTTGATTGATTGGTTGATTGATTTAGAAGATGCTCAGTTCTAAAATGTCTATGGATGGTTCACATATAAAACAAGAAAGCAATAAAAAGAATCTCAACATTTGGATAGACTGCTCAACAGCCAGCCAAATAGGGCTCCACCAGCACTCTGTCTCAAGGCTTAGGTAGGAGCACCTGGGTTTTAAACATTGGGGGGGGGGGAATCTTACCATACAGATAGAAATAATCAAAGATGGGTAGTCCCTCAAGTATCCTGGCCAATGCCATGAAGAGCCTATAGCTTATAAAAGCTATACTTTGAAATGAACCAAAATCCTACTAGCAACTCTGCAGGCTACGGAAAAACTGTGTCACATGGGCATATTGAAGCATGACCAACACTGCCTGTATTTTGGACCAGCTGCAGCTTCTGAATGGCCTTCAACAGCAACCCCACATATAGTACACTGCAGTAGTCAAACCATGAAGTAACTAGGATATGGATTACCATCTGAAGGGGCTCCCAATGGAGCTTTTTACTTCATGGTGCAACTACCAGATTAACAAAAGCTGTGTAAACAACCTCTTGGTCACAGTTTTCACCTGTTCTTTAAGCAAAAGTTGTGAATCCAAGATGTCCTCCCTGGACTTAGCACCAGTTTTGAATGGGAAAGAGTAACCCCATCTAAGACAGAAAATCCCCAAGTTCCAAGGGCCCAAAATCCACAGCCACTCAATCTTGGCAAGATTGAGCTTGAGTCTACTCCTCCCCATCCAGGCTCACCCAGACTCCAGACACTGAGATAGGACACTGATAGCATCACTTGGCCAGCTCAGATTCAAGGCGTACAAAATGGGGCACCTTCCACCTATTGATGATACCAGACCCCAAACTGATGGATGATCTCATTTGTGTGATATAGATGATAAAAAGGAGAGATGAGACTACCAAGTTCTGAAACACCCTGAAAACTCTGTAATTCAAGATGATAGATTGCAACTCCACCTTCTATTCAAACATGATCTCATGCTCAGCAGAAAAGACAGGAAAGGACTGGTGCATTCAGTTATATGTGCATATTTTTCACTTTCAACCAAACAGGACCAGCAGATATGTAGAGGTCATGAGTGTAGCCTTCTATGTTTACCATCTGCATGTAAATTAGAATCTATTTTCTGGCTTCTGGAAGGCCACTGAACATAATGAGATACAGATATAGCTGTGATAGTTTCCCCCGCCCACCCCATAGCCCATCTTTCCCCTTTGCAACTCACCACATTGAAACAATGATGAGGTAAAGGCATACAAGGGAACTGAAAAACAGCCTTCTAGCCTCTTGTTGACCCTATGAATGAAATTTTGCCTATTTGAAAAACTGGGAGCTCTTTCACACTCCTTCCTGTTCTATATTACTGTTCTATCCTGGGCAGCCAGGGCAGCCAAGGAACAGACATAAGCAAAAACCAATTTGGCTGAGTAGGAGATAAAAACCATTATTGAAACTCATTCCATAGTCAGAAAGCATTACCCACAAATCTGGACTAATTGAGAATTCCACTCTCACACATCTATACATCTATACTCTCGCACATCTCCACATTCACACAGCTGCTAGACCTGTTTGCTTCCATCTTGCCCTTTTGTGCCTGGATTTGTTCTTAAGCTGCGCAATTGTTAATATTAAAGCCCTGCAGAATAACAAGAGCTGGACCGCTGGGGACACACCGCCTCTGTGTGGGATATCCAGAATCTGAATGTGGTGAGGCCATGAGGCCATGAATTAAAGTCAAAACAGCAGAGGTAGGAGGTAGTGAGGTAGGCAGGGTCTTCTTTTGAGGCTGGTAGTTCTGCTATTTCAAGGGATTTGTCCTGACAATAGAAAGCCATGATTGCTGGAACCTTATCTCAGTCCTGGGCAGCCACCCACAGAGGGGCCTCCAATGCACTGTTAGGCAGGGAAACTGTTCAACCCATTCCTGCAGGGATTGGCATGCCTCAGTGCTCCTAGATCAATCAGAGAACATTGTAAAAATAGTAAGAAAAACACACTCACACCAGCCTATCCTCAACGGAGAGTTGCAATAAACTCTTTAACAAAGACCCTGGCCTCCAGAAGGAATTATTGGGAATTTTAGCTGAGCCAAGACTCATCTAAAGTACCTGTGCACATATGTAGTCTGTGTAAAGGATAGCTATCTTTATAGTCTTTATAGATACACAAACTGACTTCCAAGCTGCAGCCATGCCCGGATTTCAAATATTCCATGCTCCTTAGTCTTGTTTTGTCCCTTCCCTTTGTTGAACATTTCCACCATTAAATGGTGCCCTCCAGGCCCAGAGAGAGGAGGCATCAAGTAAATCTGCAAGATGCCCTGACACACCCCCACACAGTCAGGTGAAAAAAGGTGACGTCAGCGTTCACTTATAAGTTTAGGAGTGGGGAGCACTGAAGATCTTAAAGGAGATGGAGGGTGGACAAGCAGGCAAGAGGAAGAGTGTGGGGTTCACTGAAGCATATCCTGAGAGAGCTGGTGAGTTGAAGAACCTTGGTCTACGGGCAACAGGGATATTCAAAGGGCACCTAGATGCAAAGCAGATTGAGTAGAAGAGGGTAGGTTGAAGAACAGGTCATCCAACAACTTAAGAGAAAGCTTGCCTGTGTGAAGAGGGTTTCAGGGTTGTACTTACTGGGAGTCAGCACATTGCTGATCCATTCCCAAATGAGAGATCAGGTAGGTAGTAGTTAGGAGACCATGAACATGTTCAAGATAAATTGAGGAATGCTTTTTTTCTAAACCACTGGGGTTGAAATAGCTTTCATTTCATTTCATTTCATTTCATTTCATTTCTTTAATTCTCTATTAAATTAACCATGCTTGCTGTGATTTATTTTCCTTCCTTCCTTTCTTTCTTTCCTTCCTTCACTTCTTCCTTCCCTTCCCTCCTTCCCTTCCTTCCTTCCTTCCTTCCTTCCTTCCCTTCCCTTCCCTTCCCTTTCTTCTTTCTCTCCTCTCCTCCCTCCCATTTAATCTCCCCAAGGTATAGTACAGCAAAAATATGACTGGAAATTACATTATTTAAATTTGAAGCAGGCCATTTTAGCTATCTGGTCCACTCTTTCTTCCAGAGCAGAACTCCAAATTAAAACATCCCTGACCAATATATTTCTTCTAAAGCAAAATTTGACTTGAACAGAATAACACAATAAAAAGGCATATATCCAGGCAATATCTGCACTTTTGATTGATTCTGCCCTCTGAGTCCAACTCTGCTCTTGCAGCCAACACAAAATCCCCAGATAGGGTGTCTTGCATTTGCCTCGTCTTTCTCTTTGCACTGCAATGATGGGGGCAGAAGCGGGGGGGACCCACATTCTACAGGGCTGCTTACCACTGTGACCTCCTAGTAGTTCCTAGAAAAGGGCTTTCTCAGACTTTTGGAGGAGCAGGGTTGGTTAATCTGGGATTCCTGTATTCAGGACAGGACCATGGTCCCGCTCCGTGTGGTTTGGCTGGCAGCTCTGTTAAGCTGGGTAACTTTCTTACATCCTCAACAAAAACATGGCATTGGGTGGAGGGAGGGGGAATTTTTTTTCCCCATCACAGAAGGCCCCCTCAACCAGAGCTAGAAGATAGTAGGGGGAGAATGAAAGTGCTTAGGAGACATAAAATCCTCAGTGCAAGTCCTCCCCAAAGTGAGGGATGCACACTTCTTAATGAGAAAGGTCTTTGGCTCCAAACCTAGATTCTCAAATTCCTCAACATTGCCGACCCAAATTAATTAGTTTCTCAGGCAAGGCCATTGTGTTGCCTTGGCTCTCACGATCTCAAGTTCTGCCAGAGAGTGGGGGCTGAAGCATCATATTTCCCAAGCTTTAATCCTAGCTATTTGTGTGAGATGCAACTGAGAGAGAAAAATACTGTTTCTACCACAGGATTTCATTTATCAATATATCACAGTGTCTGATGCTGCCAGCTGCCAGCATTAAAAAAAAAATTACAATATAAACTGTTTAGCCAAAGTTACACAACATGTTGGCTTTTCTTAAGAGGTATTTTGCTGTACTAAACAGTGCCAGTGAAAGTAAGGTATGGTTTTCGGCTGGTTTTGTTTTTGTACACCACTCAGAATCTGATAGACTACAAGGTCTATAAATATGGTAAATAAATAAAGTAGGGGAATATTCTGAATGATGTAACTAGCTTCTGGTTTGTGGGGGCCTGGGAAGACCTTTTCATGATGATCATGTTAATTCAGGTCTTCCTGATGACAGCAGCATTCCAAATCTGTGGATTGCTATGCCAGTTTCTTACAATCCCTGCTGCCCTTTATAGTACTATATTAAAAATGGAAGTTCACAGACCCAGTTGCTAGTGGAGAAACTTCATTTCTTCAGAGCCCAGTGAGGCTTTCCCCATTTGCATTTAATCAAGATGACAAAACATGCTTACAACATCTTGTTTTGGCCGTGTGCCCACAGCCTTTCATCTGTACCCCATAAGTGAGCAAATTTGAGTCACTTTTCATTGTACCTGACTTAAAGTAAAAGTCATTTCCATATCTTGAGGCTGCTCTTATGTTGAAAATGCTAGCCTCAAGATATGTAAAGTCTGCTAAGCTTCATTGTCTAGGACTTCTGAGGAAAGTCAGGAGATTGCAGTGACTGAGAATTAATATGATAGGACCCAACATTCATGGAACTAGTAGTCATTTTCATTATAGAAAAGCCTTTCTAAACATTGACCTTTTTTCTTTTTTGTTATTGTACTTTTGGGGCAGGACTTTTTTGAAATTAAATAATCAATAGTCATGAATAACTATGTAAATTGGGTCCCAGTGTTTATTTTGGGAAAACTAGTCATCTAGATATAACACCTAAGAGGATGAGGGAATTGACAGTCTGGACAAGGCCCTACCTTTATTATAAATCCATCTCCAAAGCTTTTGTGCTCCTATTCAATGTATAACGAATGATACTCCTGGATATGGTACTAGGTACTAGTTACCTCACCAAAGTACTGGTTACCACATTCACAAGGATGGGAATTATTCAGGTAATTGCAGCAGGTCACATTTAGAATATCTGAATATTCTGAATATGGAATATTGAAATAAGAGGTTCCTTGCAGATTAGAAGAATAAGACATCAGGGAATTTTCTTATTTCTTTCCAGATGTTGACATATCCCTCTATAAGAAATTCCCTGGCCTGGTTGGAGGCTCCCTGCGTTCTCCTGCAGACCCTGACTCCTTGAATACAACTGCCATTCCTACCCGCCGTCGACACCGCACTACCTTCAGCCAGGACCAACTAGACCATCTGGAGACAGCTTTTACAAAAAATAATTATCCTGATATTTATTGCCGAGAGGAACTGGCCAGGGTTACTAAACTCAATGAAGCTCGCATCCAGGTACCTGATCAACAGAGCCAGAGAACTTCTGATTAATGGGCTACTTAGACATATTAAACTAGCCTGAAAAGGCTTTTTAGAATTTGGGTAAATAAAGCAGCCATGGATTGTCCCTTGCTTTATATCAAAGAATCTGTTTTCCACCAGGAGTGCTAATGGAAATTCACCCTGGATACCATTCACAGAACATGGACAGAACCATCTATTCCCCTTTAAAATATTTCCTGGCAACCCTTCTTCTTTTACTTCTCAAATGGCTGTCAGGCAAGCAAGATACTGTGTTTGCTAGAGATGTGAGTTCATTGCTAATATGAGGCTGCTAGGCCAAGGACCACAAGAAACTGAGGCTCATTAATCATGTGCCCACCCACTCACTGCCCATCCCTGCTACATACCACAAGTGAAAGGATGTTTGATTTTTAACTATTTAAAGCCACATGCTTTCCTTTTATATTTTGAATTCTAAGTGAATTTATTCCCCAGTAATATTTTAGTATTTTCTGAATCCTTAAGAATTCTTAATGGGTTAATCAGCTTGAAATTTGGCATCCATTTAACCTTAAATATTTGATGTCATGCATACATTTGAGGCATTCACAATCTATATGATGAAGTAGCAGCTAAATCACTTACCAATCTGTAAAGGATTTCAGCTGAGAATGCAAAATACCAGTAGTTGCCAAGAACCTCCTGTGGCCCTTTAGACAAACATGGCTCTTCTATAATTTTGCCCTTATTGTATTATTTATTTTTGCTCTGTCTTTGTCAGGTGTGGTTCCAGAACCGTCGGGCAAAGCAGCGAAAGCAAGAACGGGCTCTACCAAAGCAAACCACGCCTGCTGTTCTCTCTATCTGCCCCATTCCTGTACCTCCTCCTCCTCGACAATACCAATATTCCCCCACACTTGGACCACATCCTCATTTACCCCATTTCCCTTCCACCTACACTCTACCACCCCCCTCTCCTACTTCTGCCCCTTTTCCTTGTTCTGTCCCCCATCACCCTCAAAGCCCTTGTAGTCATGAAGACTGGTATAATTCACTACGCACTTTCAGCTCTTCTACAGCTACCCCATCGACTTCTGTGTTCTCTCTTAATCTTGATCCCGGTGTATACTGGGACTAGGAGCTGTTTGCTTGCAGGAACTGAGGAAAAGTACAGGTAGAGGAGATCATGATAAAGATTCCCAAAGATGTCCTATTCATTTTTTTCTGGCAAAGCTGTTTGCTAGGCACGATTTCAGTCTCAAACGGTTTGTGCTTCAAACTTCTTTATTCCAACTTGACACAGAATAGAAACCAAAGTCAGCTGGGCTGCAGTTGACAAAACTTAAAACTCTGAGGACCAATGTGTATTTCAATACATCTAATTTTAACAAATAAATAATGAAACAAATGTGACTTGTATTTCTAAATAAAATGTACAAGTAGTCCTCTACATATAAGCATTTGCTTAATGACCGTTCAAAGTGAGAAAGGCCTGGAAAAAGTGACTTATGATCTTTTTTCTCACTTCTGACCATTTCAGCATCCCCATGGTCACATGATCAAAACTTCGATATGTACCAACTGGCATGTATTTAAGACAGTTGCGGTGCCTTGGGGGCCATGCAATCACCTATTGTATCTTTCTGACAAGCAAAGCCAATGGGAAAGTCAGTTTCACTTAACAACCGTGTCACAACTTTAACAACTGCAGTAATTCACTTAATAACTGTGGCAAAAAGGACATAAAGTGGGGCAAAACTCACTTAACAACTGTCTTGATTAGTAATGCAACTTTGGGGCTTGATTGTAGTCATAAGTCAATGTACAAGGAATGCAAAGGAATAAGAGTCAACTCAGCCCAGTATGAGAAAGAGGGTGAAGCCCCTCACAGAATATATTGTAGATGCAGATAGAGTGCCCAGTCTGGCAAGATTTTTGTCTATAGGTGTGGAACAATAAAGAACTCTGTTTGAAAAAAATCACGTGTCATTCTTGGTTTTCGGCCTGACAATTATCCTCGCACAGCATAATGCTCATAATATCAGAGAGTGAAAAATGTTTTAGTTCAACAACTGGAAAGTACACGTTTGCAGAGAGATGATAACATTTTTTGTGCACCATGGACAACAACATTCTGTAGTTCTGCACATCTGCCTTTTTTTCTCAAGTACTGTCAAACCTAACTTTAAATACAGGTAAGGGGGATAAAATCGTAACCCTGACTTTAAATCCAGGTAAAAGAGATATGAAAATAGAATCAAGATTCAATCTCTTTCTAGCCTACCACTTCTGCTCTACCTAGAAAGCAATAGTTCTATTTCTTTCTTACCTAGAAAGATTTTTTTTCTTTTCTAGAAATTTTCTTACCTAGAAAATATTTCTTTCTTACCTAGAAATAGTTCCATTTCAGCTCCCAAGAATATTTTCACACATTTGATGCTGGTTATTCAATGACAATTTTGCCTTTTAAAGTAATTGTTTCATGCTACTTCTCAGCTTCTGACACTCTCTTGCTTCACTTTGCAAACTACAATAAAAATGTGAGTGGGGAAAGTGGGCTTCAATCCCCCCCCAAAGTATACATCCAATATCATACAACCACTTCAGCAAGTTTCTGCCCGTTTTCTCCAGCCCACATTGTTGCGGGGTGGGAGAGAGAGGGATTTTTGATTCACTGCTTTCAGAGCACTTCTGAAATGGAGAAAATATCTATTTGGAACGTCAATAACAGTTTATGTAATGGTCAATATCAAAATAAATCCAGATTTTTTTACTCTAAGCCACCTGCACGTCAGGCATTCATGCATTGCTTGATATTTTGGAAAAGGAAAAAGCTGCTAAGAAAAGAGTGCCATGTATTTCCATGTATGGATTTACATCCACTTCCTTGCATGAGTGAATATCCCAGTGCATCCAGGCAGTTATCCAAAATCTTTAGGCTGCAATCCACTATACATTCAGTTATGCTCACATCTCAGTAGGTATGTGCAAGACACGCATTAACTCAGTAGGTATGTGCAAGACACACATTAACTCTCTAGATGCTGGAGGCAAATTTGGACCTTGAGGAAATCTGAAATTGGGATTTTTTTTCTGGGAAAGATTAAAAATTAAGATATTCCCTTTATGTATAAATTGTAATCAGCTTTTGAGCATAATTCAAGGGGATAGTTATTACCTATGAATCACTGTATGACATTGGGCCTGGATACCTGAGGGACCACTTGCCTCCAGTCATTTCAGTAAATTTCAGCAGAGTGGATGTGCTGCAGGTCTTCTTTATGCTATTGTTCTAATTTAGACAAAAGTGGCAAGATCCCTATTGTCCCTATTTTCTGTGGGAGGGATGTATATGCTGGTCTAACCCTGGGCATACAGCAATATAGATGTATTAGTTATAATAGCCCCACAAAATAACTCCTTTCTACTCCTATCATCTGCAAATCCAGTAACAGCAGAAGATCAAGGAATATTTCCAGATTGCAGATGTGTCCTTTCCAAATAACAGAATAACCGAGTTGGAAGGGACCTTGGAGATCTCCTAGTCCAACCACCTTCTTTAGCAGAAAACTCTATACCACTCCAGACAAGTGGCTGTCGAGTTTCTTCTTAAAATCCTTCAGTGATAGAGCACCCACAACTTTTAAAGACAAGACCAGTGTTCCACTGGTTAATTGTTCTCACTATTAAGAAATTTTTCCTTATTTCTTGGTTGCTTCTCTCCTTGATTAGTTTCCATTCACTGTTTCTTGTCTTGCCTTCTGGTGCTTCAGAAAATAGGTTCAATCCTCTTTTTTGTGGAAACCCCTCAAATATTGGAACACTGCTATCCCGTTACTCATAGTCCTTCTTTTCACTAGACTGGACAAATCCAATTCCTGCAACCATTCTTCATGTTTTAGCTATCTTGTTTATATGTCTTCATGTTTTAGAATCTTGTTTGCTATTTACAAACATCACTTATTTGGGGGCCAATATATTCAAGATATTCTAGCAGGAGCAAATCATGATCCTCTTAGCAGCACTTCCTGTCTTGAAATGTAGGCCAAGCCAGGGGAGGGGGGAAGAGATGTGATGGCAACCCTTTCTGCTTATCCTAGCAACTACGGTACATGCCAGAGATGTTTGTAAAACTCAAGTTATCTTGTCTGCTAGAATGAAAAAAGTTCGGAATGAAATGACAAAACTTGCATCTCCATAGTCACACAAGATAGGACACAAGATAGGATAGCAGATGGTACACTTTTAGGTCCCATCTGCTCTTTCAGATTGGAGACAGAATTGAGGTGACAGCATACTATTCAGTGAGGGAACCCTACACCAACAACTGATTGTGCTGACTGAGTGATTGTGGAGGAGTAAGCATTCACTATAATGTATTTAGAAAGCATCATGCTGATCAACCTGCTCTCCCCTTTGAAAGGACCTTCTGAATAGACATGCACATACCGGTAATTAGATTGTTAAGCTCTGACCAACAAAAGCTCATTTTTAAAAAAAAAATTCAGAAAAAAATATTACTGGATTTATAAGACCACTCAACTCAATAATGGTGGCATGCAAAAAAAAGACCACCACCCCCAAAAAAAGAACCACGTATGATAGAACTTTCTTTCCAACCATTCTTCCTTTCGTAGTCAAGCAGGCATTTCTTCTCCTCTTGCCTAAAAATTGGGCAACTTTGACGGAATATACCGACTCAAGACCTGCAAATCCCCATTACTCGAACGGGAAAAAGACTAGATGCTAGAGCATTAATTTCTCTTCACTCTTTCATAGGCTGCCATCATCTCAGCAAAAAGAAAAAAAAAACCTGGCAGGAACAAGAAGTAGTAGCTCTTGAAGTGCTGGAGAGCTCTGGCTCTCTGCCGCCATCTCGCGGTTGCCCGGAGTTCTGCACTCTGGTTATGACAATCATACTCGATCTCAGAAACATCTGTCTGTTTTCTTGATGTTCGCGTCCTCTTGCTACACACGTGGAATCGTGCAGTCAGAAAAGTAAATGAAAGAAGATCCGCTTAACTTGAGATACGTGTACTTGTAAAGTAAAATCCCGCCTTTTAAAGGCGGGATTTTACTTTACAAGTACACGTATCTCAACGTAACATGGGGAAGTATCCAGAAGATACTTTCCCTTCAAATAAGCTAGCGATCGTGCGTGCATCAGTCACCACTTAAGGCACACCTACAAGTCAACCCTATATATACGGCTCCATTCTGCCACCGGAGCTTCTTTTCCGGGGCACTACACATCCGGCAAGAGGAAACGGTAGCAAAAAGCGCCATCAGCGATCCAACCGCTTTAACTCTCGGTGCAGCACCCGACAGCCATACAACGACCCTGTGGCGGCCACGTGATCGCGATAGGGGGCGGGATCAAATATAAGCGTCGCGCGGGCGGTGTCCGGGCCGCATTTTGAGTACGGTCCAGCTCAGGCGACTTCTTGTAAGTAAACTCCGAAGTTTCTTGGCCCCCCCCCAGTAAGGGTGAAAAAAACTCGCCCTTGGCGTAATTACGGGGGGGAGATGAAGGCCTCCTACTCTTGAGGAGCGGGAGGCGCGCGCACGGCAAGGCTTTCGGAAGGCGAAGAAAAGCTCGCGCCTTGCTAACTGCCAAAGGAAATAACGTAGCCGTGCGGTGCGCGTGCGTGGTGGAGGGCATGGAGTGGGGGATGGGGGCACGAGGGAACAGAACGGTCCCTCGCGCGGGGTTAACAAAATGGCGCTCGGAGCGCAGCTGTAGAAACTCCGGTCTCCTCTCCTTCGTTAATCTTCTCGAGCCGCCTCCCGGCTTTGTTCCTGAGCAGCGGATAGCTTGGGGCGTCGTTGCTGGCGTGGGAGCGTGTCTTAAGGCGTCCGTCCCTCTTTAAGGATCCTGAACCCAAACGGGGCGCTGGTAAAGTTAAACTTTGAAATGACGAGGAGGGCAGAACAGGCTCGTGGGCAGCTTCCGCTTAGCGGGCTGGCGGAAAGGTTAAGGTCACGTGGAATTCCGGATGCCCTGTGACGTTCGGAGCCATGTGCTCGGTTCAGGCCTAGTGATTCTCCATTGGTAGGTTCGCCGGAATTACCCGCGCCGTGGCGTGCGGAATAATGGAAAGTCGTTTAGGGTAGTTCAGCAGTTTATACTAGGTTATTGTTCCAGGTGGACTCAGTCGCCTAGTTTATGTCTCCCGTAAGCAAATATGGCTGGTATATTGTGTAGCATAATATACGTGATTTTTTTATATATATACACATATTTGTGTGTATGCATGTGTATCTTGTGTGTGTGTATGTGTATATATATATATGAGATATTGAGAGCGGGCACCAGAAATTCCATATTTTTATGTGTGCTAGTGTGTTCACAGAAAAAAATGACAATAAAGGTTATCTTACTTATACAGCATTCATTCTTTTGGTTTATTGTTTAGACTTATCATCATGTCTTCTGAAGAAGGAAAACTATTTGTTGGGGGGCTGAACTTTGATACTGATGAACAAGGCCTTGAACAGCATTTCAGCTCCTTTGGTCCTATTTCTGAAGGTAATGTGTTCTGCTAATAAAGGGGGGAGAGTTAATGTTGAAGATTACCAAAAGAGATGAATGACTTTTTTTTTTCTGTACTCACAGTCGTTGTGATCAAAGACAAAGAAACACAACGATCAAGAGGCTTTGGCTTTATTACCTTTGCCAATCCTGATCATGCATCAGATGCCATGAGAGCAATGAATGGAGAGGTGAGATTTTTTTCAAAATTCTGTTATTGGTTATGGCCACAGTCTAAATATATCTAGCTATATGTATTTAGTGAGATGTTTCTAGGAAGTAAAACTAGCACGGTGATATTTAGGTTTTAAAGCATCAGGAATCATTGATGTTGGACATTTTTTCCCTTTTTAATGTATCAAAGCTTTCAGATTTTTTTACCTAATTGACTAAATTACCAGAATCTGTGATACCCATGGTATGCATATCATTTTTGGCTATTAGAAGGAAATAAGTTTTGATATACAATTTGGACAGTATTCACATATACAAATATAGTTTCCTTCAAAGATTATCACTTATTCCATGCAAGTTAGAATGAGTCTGTCTTGCAAAATAACTTTCTGTTGCCTGCCTTTCATCAGCAAAAAAGTTCTGACAGTGAAGATGCTGAAGAGGGAACAAATGAGGATTGAACTATAGAACAAATCTATGAAGGAAGAGTGAATTGCATTGAGACTGAATTTATGTACACGCTCAAAATATTCCTGAGAAGTAAAAAGTTTAAACAGTAAAGGGCAGTATATGAGCTAACATGGGCATCTTAGAAGTAAGACTGTGTTGCAAGAATGGAGAGGTATAGTGAGTTGTGTGTGTGTGTGTTTATTAAATTCACCATTCTGAGAGCCAACAGTATTTCTGTAATAAAAAGGCAAACTCCAGCCACTTCTACAGAAGCATACTTCTCCACCTACTAATTTCTGAGATATTTTGAGGGTTGTTGAGCATTTCCTAGAATATACTGTTAAGGACATTTCTGGTAGAGTAGCTACGTTCTTTTCCCTAACGTTATTTGTGTGCTTTTATTAGATGTTTCCCCAAAATGTCTTGTAAGAATAGTCTCCTTTCTATGATTAAATATTTCTAAATTTCCTGGATCAAGAAGACTAGTATTTAAAAGACCTTAAATATTAATAAGTGAATACAGCAAGATCAATTAGGTAGATCACTGTGCTTAGATTGATATAGAAAGTTTGGTACTAATGTGGCATGACTTTTTGGAATAAATCTCTAGCAGTTGAAAATAATTATTTCTATATTGTAGTCTTCTAAAGAGCTGGTATGGTTAATGACTAGCCTGGCCTTCCCTCTTAAGCCCTCCAGTTATGTTTTAACCATAATCTCCAGTCAGATCCCAATATGCCTGGAAGATACTAGTTTGAAGAGGTTTAGGATAGCAAATTGAATTTGAAAGTTCATCTTAGAGTATTTACATTTTATTGGTTGGACTTTTATATGATTGTGTAAATCATTACAAGCAGTGTAAGTTTACCACACATTATGTATTGTAGCAACTATTTGTTGTTCTCCCAGGCTTTGGGGGTAGAGTGGTTGGAGCTACTGCTGATTGTGATTTATATGGGATATCTGTTAGAGAGATAGCAGGTTTGAGGTAGTGATTAAGGCATCAGACTAGAAACCATGAGTTCAGGCCCTGCCTTAGACACAAAGCAGTCAAGTCATCTTGGGTCAGTCATAGGAAGCAAGCAAGGGCAAACTATTTTGGAAAATCTTGCCAGGAAAAGTGTAGGGACTTATCTACACAGTCTCCAGGAGTCAAACGTTGATTTGAAGCTACACTCGCCAAAAGGATGTTTTTTCCTAGCATGAGTTTTTAAATGTTTCCCATTCTTTTAAAGGTGCCTAGAATTCTAATGATGTGGGGCCTTTATATTTAATAAATAAATTATGAGTGGCAGCTTTATTACTTATGTTAATTTGATAATGTCACTTAGCATTCATATTACTTCATTGACTAAAATCCTGTTTTAAGACATAAAATGGTTTTATGTTTTAAAAAATGTGCATAAGAATAATCTGTTCCATTCCCTGATGTTTAATCACATCTAAAATATTTGTTCATTATCAGTCTATAGATGGGCGCCAGATCAGAGTTGATCATGCTGGAAAATCTCGTGGATCCAGGGGTGGCTACTTCGGAGGCAGGGGACGAGGCCGTGGCTATTCCCGAGGTAAGAACAAGACACCTATGATAAATACTTCATGCATTAAACTAAGGGTGATAGAGGTGGGTTTCTGCAATTCATCTGCCATTGAAACTTTTTTATTATTATAGGTGGAGATAGAAGCTATGGGGGAGACAGAAGCTACGGGGGAGACAGAAGCTATGGTGGACGTTACGATAGTCGAAGTGGAGGCTACAGTAGTTCCCGTGACTACAGCAGGTAATTGTGGTAGTACACATTTTATTTTGCAAATCCATTCTATAGGGAACAGGCATAAAATATTATCCCTTGTTTTCAGAAGTCAAGGAGGCTATAATGATCGATACTCCTCAGGAGGTTCTTATAGAGACAACTATGACAACTAAGGTAAGTAGGCGTTGGAAAGGGAGTGAAAAAAATTGTCTTTTCAAAATGTCCTTAAGCTTTCAGTGCTCCAACTTACACTGGATAGTGACAGGAACTTACAGCTACTGAGTTAGAATCAAACATGTTTTTTCCTTGTATTTGCCCATTGATTGCAGGCCTTCGGTCACATTACTGATGAATAATTTGAGTGCATGTTGAACCTTAAAGAGTTAAAATTTTAATTGAGAAGTTATCTGAGTGCTAACTGGGGGAGGGTCTGAGATTCCTAGCAACACTAATCTAAAAGTATAGGAGTGATGAATTGCTGCAACATGTCCATAAACTTGTGCCTTTATGATTATACCTGCTTCTTGTCCTCAGCTTACACCGAGTAAAAATCCTTCCTGACTCGAGATCGTCCTTCCAATGGCTGTATTTATAAAGATTTTTGGAGCTTCGCTGAATCTTGTTTAATTACCTACATGATCTTCCCCTTATATAGCTTTTATCACATGTAGCCTGAAAGCTTCCTCTACAAGATGGCCTGTTAGACTTTACTCAAGGGGTTTTTTTAAGTGGTTTTTAAGCATTTTTTAAATCCAGTTTTATTTGTCTTGCCTTTGCGATCTAAGTTTTTTTTTAACTTGACACATGGGGCCCTACAAAGTAAACCTGTTGGAAGCTGACCAGTCTTTTGAAAAAGTACAATCATTTGATGTTCATCTCTTGGCATAACAAGCAAGGGTGACAAGGCAAAAATTTGGTATTATTAAAGATATTGGTATTACTACATTGATCATAGTAAAAGCTATTTTACTGTAAAGTAAACCTATAACTCAAATGCTTTGAGAGGTTCTTGAAAATGTTTGTTTATATTGTCCATTTTTTTACTGGAAGAAATATGCATAATTTCAATTAATTGTATTTGAAGTGGATAAGGAATTTCCTGTACTGAGGTTTTGGCTTTACGAAGCCCATTAAAATCCCACCTGAAACAATTCTCTGTTCCTGATGTTTGCACTACACATCTTTGATAGTTTAGTAGCTAATAAGTAAAAGCATTTTAAATAAGGCCCTGAAGTGGTATCTGAGTAATGAGGGTTTTATGTACGCCAGGTATTTAAAAAGTAAGAAATACAAATGTAAAAATCTGACAAATTGGGAGGGATAATTAGAGATACTTGTGTTTCTCACTAAAGCAATGTCCTAGCATGATTTAACACCATAATCTCTATACAAGAGTCTAAATGTATCTTGATATCAGATGAATATTCGATTGTTAATGGATACTATCATATGGCTCAAGTATGGCCAATATATTTTTTGTTCTAGAATGTTTCAAAGTTTTGGGATCAACATTGCAATGCTACTTGGGGAAATCATTTTTACTTCTAGGAGGGGGTAGTGGCTGAAATAAAAATTGCAGCCCAGTGATGACTTGGTGAAAGCTCTTCAGACTTGCTAACAAGGATCCCAGTGGGATTTCTCAATACAATGGCACGTAAACAGTTTTTAAATGTGTCATTCAATAGTGAATTTAACTTAGAATTGACACTGAAGAGTATTGATTAATTATTAATTTCTGGATTGCAAGTCTATATTGCCATAGAAGAAACTATGCTAAGTTTGTAAGCTGTATGGTGATGCTTGAATTTGTAATGTTTCTAAATTTTTCAAATATGTTCATTGAGTAACCTTAATGGGTTGCTACTTGCTTTAATTGTAATGCACTTTAATATTGGTATTCTTAGAGTGGAGGGCATGGAAAATAACTTCCCTTGCTTGTACAAACACTTCCAAAAGTAGGGAATGCCCTACTTGGTGGTTTGAGAAACAAATGGCTTTGAGCTGGTAGAGAAATACGCTTTTGACATTTGGAAGGCCTAAAGCTTCTGTTCAGCTTTAAGGCTGAACTGATGCTTAGCTGGCCTTACCTGTAGTTAGGTCTGTCCTGTTCTTACACTGTGAGAATTCTCTGCTAGCATGTGGAAGCCAGTGTCCTTGGAGACCCCGAAGTGTGTTGTCCTCCTTCAGTGCGATCCATGTGAGACGAAAGCTGCTCTTGGCTAGTTCATTTGTGGAAATAGTCCTGTATTTCGAGGTAACTCTTTTGCTCATGTCTGCATCTTTTCTCCCATAGAGCTCCATTCTTGTTGCTGCAGCAAACAGATCTTTGTTATTGGCAAATTTATTGGGAAAATCTGGGGTCTCTTTGGACCCTAGCAGAACTTGGACTCGATATGTTTGGGGTTTTGTTTTGTTTTTTAATCCTGGGGGGGAGGTTCTGCCTGGCTCCTGTAACTTGACATTCTACTTCAAGAAGGAAGAAGGCAGTCCGCTAAAACAATATTCAGATCCATTCAGCCACCTCTCTGTTCATTTCCAGTATCTTGTGTTTTATGAAAACTTGGATTGTTACTTGGATTGATGTTTCCTAATAAAATCTAGCTTGGGTGTGGAAGCCTTCTATTCCCACTTAAATTAACTTCATATAATTTTGAAAAAGGCTTAAATATGGGAGAACAATCATGTTAATTTGGGGAATCTTCTGAGGACTTGGTGAACAGTGTCACCCAGGCCTGAAGTATCTTGTTTAGAATTGTAATCACTGAAATTTTTGAAATTTTGAACGAACTTCTTTTAAGTGATACTTATTGTTTGCAGGCAAGAAGATTATAGTGGTTATTCTGCCCTAAAATAACCATTGACCTCTGAAGTATTGAACAGTGAGATTGCTTCTTCACCCAAGGGTCTAAAAAACCACACTATAAAGTAAGTAGATTTTCTTTCTTCAAAGAAATACTAAATAATACACCTACTCTATTGGCCACTATCACATAATATATCTACTCTAAGATTATAATTGTTTATGGATTAAATTTACATGGTTGCCTGTTTTATACATGGGTGGCATATAACCAAACGAACAAAGCACTATACAAATGTAATTTAAAACAAGTATAAATGTAATAAGAGGGAATGCATTCAAATCTTGTGCGTGATGCAGCAAACACAGGCATCCTATTGGTAGGGGTTCACCAGGCCTGCTAAAACTACATTTTAAGAGATTTTGGAAAGTCATAAGGATTGGGGCTAGTCTTCCCTAAGGTGGGATGAAGTGTGCTTCCTGTAGTGTGCTGCATAGAAGTTTACCTTTATAGATGAAAAGTACAAAAGAATGAAAATAGTAAAATTTTACAGGCAAAATACGATTGTGTTGTTCTATCAATGCCTTATATGAAAAATTATGACTGACTCTAGAAAACAAAATTTGTTAGATTTCCAGCTTCACTTTTTTATTGTTTTTTTAATGTGTTATTCTTTCTGTGTTCTGCATAATGGATAGAGCCCTGTGATCCTTAAACACCCCTTCTGTTTGAAATATATTCTAGTATTACAATGGTGTAACCACTAACGGGCGTAGCAGTTTCTTAAAAAAAAAAAAAAATCAGAATAGGAGATACTAGTTCCAAGCATATGTGACATTGTTCTACCTTGATAGTCTGTCACAAAATATATCTATGGGCATCAAAGGTTTCTTTTCTCTGTTGTATAATGATTGACTAGTACATCCTTTCTTCACAGGACTTTCTGCTTTATTTGCTGGAATAGTGTAAAAATGAACTGGAGAAGATGTGAGCCAAGATGATCCAATCAGGTTTGTTTAACAATTTCTATATTTTCTTCAAATAAGGGCGAAAAAAAAATGATAGAAAAAAAAATTGAATCCAATTTGGGGGTTAAACATGCCTTCTGTATAACAGTTGATGGTACATACTTAATTTTCAGCATGTGCTAATTGTTCTTATATTTTATCAGATTGCAGGAATGCACACCTATCAGGATTATTGTAACAAGTGTCATCATAACAGACCAAGAGGACTTGTCACTACGTTATATTAGATTGCTGGAAAATATATGCATCCACAAGGACTTTTTCTGACTAGCCGACATATTAAGAATCCATACAAAATTGGAAAACATCTTAACCATCTTACTGAAATTGTATATTGATGAATAATTATTCTGATCCTGTTGTGGTTTTAGAAGTTGGGGAAATGGGTGTATATAACTGCAATGCAGTTGTGTAATTCTTGCCCTAAAATTTTCCATGAAGAATGTCAGATTAAGAGAATCCTTAATGCTTTTGTTTAGATTGCGCATGATTGCTATACAGTGGGTATTTGTTTTTTTAAGTATGTTTTCTGTGCCCTTAAAACTTATTTTCATTTCCAAAACTCAACATGGCAAAATTTCTAATAAAAGTGTACTGATTGAACAATTACTGGCTTAATAATGTATTCTAGTTGCTTTCGGTGATATAATTGGTGGCACAACCAGGACTGTTAGTTAAGCTGGCTGTTACATCTAGAGAGAAAGATGCCAGCACCTGTGCCTGCATAGTAGGAAATCACACTGACAAAAGCTCTATACCATAGAAGGAGGATGAGTTGAACACCAACCAGGGCGTGGATGAGAGTTACCCAGACAACTGAGACCATCTGGACGTAAAAGTTGCAGTGGGCAAAGGACTGGAGCAAGGAGGTGATTGCCCCAGAGCCCTGTAGCTGTAGCTCTTTTGCCCCCTCCAATGCTGGGAGCCATTTTGAATACTCTGGAGGACAGTAACTCAAATATGGGAGCCATTTTGAGTCTTAGCTGAAGGATAGTAAAATGTGTATTCAGTGATTATAAACTGGTGAAGAAAACAAAACGAACTCTGCAAGAAGATTGGGATTTATATCAGCTGGAAGGTTTGGCGAGTGGAGAAGTTCACCTTGAGTGAAAGCCATGAAGGGAAGGTGTAGTTAGTGGTGAGATACTCAGCAATCCAGTGAGAACCCCAAATCCTGTTGGATTATAATTAGAAGGCTTGAGTAAGTTTTCTGATTGCTGAGGTCAATGCAGAAGAGCTTTGCATAGCAAAGACCTTGGGAATTGTGTGTGGGAGGTGAGAGCCACAGGTCAGGTTATGTACTGCTATGAACGGAATGGGGAAAGGGGGTCTGAAGGAATAGAAGCAGGCTATAAAATTCCAATAGTAATGAATAGAGGAAAATGTGAGAGTTGGGCCCAACTCAGCAATGGTTAACACCCAATCTGAATTTTCTGCCAGAGCAATGATAGGATGTTCTGAATTTGGGGGAGATTTGACTTTTTCCCTGCCATGCATAGATCATTCACTGGTGAACCTCAAATTCTTGGATACCCCACCCCCTCTTTATGGAGATCAAGCCTATTGGATCGGCTCACTCCAAGCAACTACTGGACTGATTGAGTTTCTTCCAGATTATTTTAGAAACATTGCTACCTGAAGCCTTTAGATCGAATTGCACCTGAGCAGCCTCTCCAATTATGCCCAGGGTTCTCGAAGCTCCCTAGGTATTTGATGGGGTTGAAGGAATTTAAACAGGAAAAGCATTGCTGGCAAGAGACAAGGAGCAAAGACAATCAGAATGGAGTAAAGTTACTACTGTATTAAGCTCTACCTCATGGAAGTAAGGGTGATGAAATATAACTATCCGCTCATTGCATCTACTGATAGTCGCCCAATGGCTGTTTTGGGTAATTAATTCAGTCCCTCCTCAGAGGGAGAAATACTAAAAGTATATCTAAAGGGTTTGCTGTCAAGAACATAAACATCTGGTAGACAAAATTTGCCTTACATTGGACTCCAGTCTTATAGCAGAGTCAATGGAAGTAGTGGGTGTTATACTTTGCAAGGTGACCTGGGAACAGTTGGAGCCTGCAGAACCTGAGGAAGTGGATAGGGCCCTCTCAGCTGCTAGTTAGGCCTTTTGTGTGTTAGATACTGCCCCTCCTGGCTAATTAAGGCTGCATAGGAGAGGATGCATGAGTGGGTCTAGACCAGGCTTGTCCAACCCACGGCCCACGGGCCGCATGCGGCCCAGGTCAGCTTGTAATGCGGCCCAGTGCCCACCCCAACCTTCATGCAAGAGGACAAGCCAGCGAGGAGGAGGAGAGGCAGGCGCGAGGCGGGGCGAGGCGAGCGCCACGCCAAGCAGCAATAGAAAAGGCGGGCGCCGTCAGAGCGCTCCTCATGCCGAGGCAGCCGCAGCCCAAGAGTCCCGCTCCGCCACCTCCTGCTGTTGCCGCCGCCATCGCTGCTGCCACCGGAGCTGTTGTAGCGGCTTCTCCCCCCCCCCCCCCCGCCGCCGCCGCCGCTGCTGCTGCTGCACCGAGCCTCCCGGTCCTCACCTTCCAGTCCTGCCGCATCCAGCCGGGCCATTTGCAGGAGGAGAGGTAGGTGCGAGGCGGGCG